ATTGCCTTGGGATTTCTAATGCACAATGGGATACAAATGTTCAAACATCGTTCCTTGGTTTGGGAACCTGAGAAAAATAGAAAAGCTGGTTGCAAAGTCCTTTGATAAATGTTCCCATCTCCACCCACACTTGACTCAGAAATAAATGTCATGGCTCTCTCCCTTGGAGTAGCTGGCAAAAGCCAAAACTCTGAGGGCACGGAGTGTGAGTTTTCCTTTCCATTGTGGGCTTCCCATGGGCATCCCATTGACTGATGTGAGAATAGGACACCGGACTTTGGTCAAATCCAGCAGGACTCTCCTTATGTTCTTAATAAGGCTGTGCTAACTTCCTTTCTCAAGGATGAAGAATTGTTCTCTCTGCTGCGTGTCATGTTTTCCATCAAGAGTTTGGGACACACTTCTCATTTTTCCCCCATTCTGCAGGTGTCAGCGGTTCAGGTTTCTCCTGGTCAGAGAGCAGAATTCATTTCCAAAGAGTCACAGTTGATGGTTTCTGCTGCTCTCAGAGGTCTTATCACTGATCCAAAAAAGTCTAGATTCATTTATGAAGCGCATCCATTATCCTTTTAAGAGAACATGACTCTTTTCTTTCCTGGTCCAGAAGCCACTATGATTCAAATTCTATTTACTCATATTTACCAGTTACCTGAATGTTATCAAAGGATGAATATGCCAGTTTTGGTTTCCCCCCCTCATTTCTCACAAAATCAGAGAACTGGAAGAGACTGAAGGGGCCATCTAGTCCAACCCCTTAAGAAGAAAGAAGAAGAAAGAAGAAGAAGAAGAAGAAGAAGAAGAAGAAGAAGATGATTTTGGACTTGATATCCCACCTTTCACTCCCCTTAAGGAGTCTCAAAGTGGCTAACAATCGCCTTTCCCTTCCTCCCCCACACCAAACACTCTCATGACACCTCTGCTCTCTTGCCTATGAGAGTAGCCTGCTTTACTCTCTCTTGTGAATAAGGCAGAATCTTTGCCTCTGAGTTGCTCATATAGAAGAGAACATTGAACTCTTGGACTCAAATATTAATGAGTACCTAATAAGGTGTGCATTGACCCCAGGATTTACTTTGTGCCTGTATCTTTGCTTATTTTTTAAAAAAATGAATCTGTTTTTGAGTCACCCTGTGCTTTGATCTGTAATTAGTGATCTGCATAAAATAGAACCTTAAAAAGAATGGTTGTGACTAATTTGCAGGCACAGCAGCAGTGATGTCAACTTGCTTAATCAATCATAAGGCATGGCACACACCATTTGAATGGAAATGCGCATCACTTTTTGGGGAGGCAACCCCCTCAAATATTTTATTGGGAGGGGCAAAGGGACCTTGGCCCCTCAGAGTTGGCTCCTATGCACCAGAGTGGATTAATTGGAGATCGAGGGGTTTTTTGGGGGGTGGGGAGTGAAATGGATTCACATTTCTCCATAATCTGCATTAGGGCAATACATTTATTAGTTTCATATTTTCAAGCGGGGAGTTGTTTTTTTCTTGTCTTGGTCTTTCTGGCTTTAAAATAATTAACAAGTGGCCTTGGAAAGCGGCCTTGATGGATGGATACCTACTTGCCAGGACTGTCTTTTTGTTGTTGTTATTGTACTGTTAGGGAATGCAGGTGGTGGTGGGGACACACAAAAAGCATGCACATTAAAGGAAATGTTTCCTAAAAAGCTTGTATTAGCAAAAATCATGTTCAAATGTATGATTTTATTTATTTATTTATTATTTAGATTGACTAACAATGCATTATAATAGATGTAATTCCTTGCAACATTGTGTGTGTTAGGCAAAAACGCCTTCAAATGTGTACAAAATTTCACATGGATTTTTTAAAACCGCAGTTGATGTGGCAAACTGAACTTACTAGTGGGAAAGAACAAGACCCTGAGAGAAATCAGTCGAGGCATCTCTATTTGAAAAGCAGGACATCTGGAAACAAAACAATACCACAATATCCAGGAGGTCACACTGGCAGAAAGAATCAATTTGCTTTCTGGAGTTAAAACCTGGTCCCTCAACAGTTCAGCCCAATCCAGTATGCGCAACCCGTATCCTCTCTGCCTCCTTGAGTAATAGCTGCTGTTGAGTGCAAAATGACCCAGAGCAGCCAATTATGCCAAGTTTCTGCCGGGTAAGCAATTATCCAGGAAACAAACACTAATTAATTAAACACTCTCCATAACAGACTTGTCTTCCATCAGGCAAATAATTAACAGGCATGGATCATTTGGTGAGCGGGCTGAATGGCGAGGCCATCCTTGAAAGTCATGCGTGGCAAACATACCTCTTGGCTCGACAAGGATGCCAGCTGCTGCCTTCCTTCCTTATCCTCTTCATTTATGGTGGTGTGTGTGGAACCGCAGCTGACATATATTGACTCCACTCGTCACCCACCTTTCTGGTAGCAAAACTTTACGTTATCATGGAAGGCAAAGATGTGGAGTGAGGTGAGGAGACTTCCGGGTTAGCGCGATCGGCTAATGGCGGATTCCCTCCGAGCTCCGGAGGGAATCGGCTCTGCTGGAGATGGGTCTTGCCGCGACGGCGACGCGGAGACCCTTAGAAACCGCAGGCGCTGAAGCCTGCGGACTTGGTGACTCGGCGGGCACCTTAAGCGCCCCCGACCCACGAAGAGCCTTTTTAAAGGCTTCGGAGAGGGTACGGAGTGTGGCGTGGTGCTGTGAGTAGACCGCTACTTCAGCGGAGCGAAGCCGCGAGCCATGGCCGGAGAGCGCTGACTTTTTCCCCTGAATTCGGACCTGAAAAGAAACAACCCATGAGTAAAATGGAATTTGGACTTTAAAATTCTTATCTTTGAATTCGGTACGTCCGGGGGATGTGCTAAAGGGAAGTCCGCACCCCCCCCTACCTACAAACGATCTAAAGCAAGAATCGGAGAACTAAGGTGGAGAGACCACTCTTCTCGGTGTGAGATAAAAGATATTAACTTCCATAATTTGATAAAAGAAGTTTTTGTGCTGGAGTGTGAGAGCGGAACTTTAGAAGTTTTTTTGTGTAACCCCCCCCCCCTGGACCCGGGAGCGTCCTGTGTCTGAGCCTGTTGAAGAGGAATAAGGAGTTTGACAGCTGTCAAAGCTGTCAAACGGGCAGTTAAAGCTAGAAAATTTGCTATTTAATATGTCTCTGGACTAAATGTGCTACAATTGAATTAAAGTTGTTGGAAACAAAGAAGAAATAAACAACAAGGTAACGGATTGTTGGAAAAAGAATACCAAGTAATCAGAATCCCTCTAGGGGGAACTCTGAGACATTACAATGGCTGCAGATGGAAAATTACAGGCAGAGATAGAAAGAATGTTTCTTCTCGTGGGAATGTTGCAAGAGCAGAGTTTGGCTATGAACAAACAACTTATGACCTTGACCTCTGGAATAAGCAGCTCTGCTGAATGCACTAAGGACTTGACTGAAACAAATTCTGCAGCTGAACCAGAAGAGATATCTCAAGAACTGGAGGAGAGCAAGGAAGGAATGGAGAAAGCACAGATGGAAAGTACCAACCAGGAGCCTACACTGGTGGATTTTAAGGAAGAAGACCTTTGGATCACATGGATTACAAATCTGCGAAAGATGCGAAAGAGGAAGAAGGGGCCCCCTGGAATATTTGGAATACAGGAACTTAAAGGAAATAAGAAATATGATTGGGGCTCCCACTTTGAATATGAAGGAATGGTTGATCTTTTGCAGCAGCTGTCATCAAGTATTCTGGTGGGAAGAAAATCTGGTTTGACTGTGATAGAACTCCTTCCAGACCTGATGACCAACACAAAAGACTACCAACAAAACCGGCAGGGAGGGACTGAAAGAGATTTGAAGGCCTCGGACGTGAGGAATCCAGGCTAAGAACTGTTATTGTGGACATGTACTTGGGAAGGGACTGAAACCGGGGAAGGGAGGGAGGGGAATACAGAACCTTAAAAATGTTTATGACTTTTGGGTTTAGATAGTATGATCTATATCTAATATAAAAATGGGAAATCTATGGAAGGGAACTTGGGTCGACCTTAGGAAAGGATTTAATTTTTATAAGAGAGGCGGAAAAGGAAATTTGGCCAACTAAGAAGTGTTAAGTTAAAAAATAATAATAATATGTTAAGGAGGAGAGATAAGAACTTGCTGACTTAATTATGGGAATTGGGATGTATGAAGGGGGGTGGGGGGAAGTCAGGGAATAAGGTCAAGAAAGTAAGGATCTGAAATTATACATGTTTTGTCTTTGTCTTTTTTGTGTGTGTGATGTCTTTATAAAATGTGAAAATCCAATAAAAATTTATATATAAAAAAAAAGATGTGGAGTGATGTGAAATGAGGGAAGGAGAAGACAAGCTCTCCTCTCTTGTGATGTTGCTCCACCACCCTAGAGAGAGGCACGCTGGCCCCAGCTACTGAGATGTACCCACCTGACTGTGGAACCATGAGCAATGATTGATGCATTGATTTACTTTATACGTCACCCTTAGCGGTGCTTAAAGCAGCTTACAATGAACAGTCACATAGCAAAACCCAAGGCACAGGGTGGGGGAAGTCGGTTGACCAAACACCAGTCAATTCAAATAGGACAAAGACAAACCATTTAGCAAACATACAATGAACTCACTATCGAGACTTCAATGCATACATTCAGTTGTCCATGCAGGGCAATCTTGGGGATGGTTTGGAAGCTGGAGTGTGTCCTTGCACTCTGATAATTGGGTGGGGGACAGAGAGGGGTATGTGGATGAGAATAGAAGGAGATCAACTGTACAAAGGAAAGATTTACCTTCATTGCTACACCCACTTTTGCCTCTGACCTTGCCTGCCACTGGGTGGACCAGGGTCAGTGTAAGGTCAGTGTAAGCCCTGCCCCCATTACTCCAGTAGGGGGGTACTGCTGAGTTCCAAGAACCCCCTGGACTGCCTGGATTGGATGGGGTGGGGTGGGGCAGTTCACAGCCCTGATATGTACAGCTACAATCGCATCATCTGGAGAAGGTGGCTGTAAGTCATGGCTTCTATGCTTACATTTGCAAGAACAGCTCTGAGCACAGCTTGCCGTTGTCGCAGCTCCCATCTCAGAAGCTCTTACCTGCAGATAAGTAAGAGATCATTATTCAAGAAAACCACAGTACAGGCAGCAGTCACAAGGCTCAGAAGTCATGGTTCAGAAGTTGAAGAGCAAGGTAAGGCATTCAGGCCTGGGTGGAAGCAATGAAGATGTCCCAACAAGTGGTTCTGCCCCTCCCACCAAAATTTTAAAGGGGAGGTATGGCGTGCTCACTAACGAGACTCACTCACCTTGCAGGAACATTGCTGTTACAAACATGGGCTCCTTTGGGTTGGGTAAGGAGTGCTCCCATTTGTGAAAGCGGTACCTGATTCGCAGAACCTTCCTGTTCAGGCTCCTATTCAGTCTCTGCTGTTTCCAGCTCTACCTTACCCCCATAGCTGCTCCAAACCCTCCTCCAAGCCGGCGAAGGGGGGCGAGCCGACAAACCTGCTGCCCCTTCCAAAGTGGCTGAAGTTGCAGCAGAAAGGAGCCACCCCACATCTTCTACCCAGGTTCCCACCATTCACGATCACCCAATATTTTCTACCTCCTGTGTTGGCGCCTACCAATGCAAAGATGATCCCAACAGCGCTATGGGGCTCGAGACATCCCTTTCCCTTAATTTTATGCAGCTCTTGAAAGCCCTGCAATATAACCCACTAGTTCCAATCAGGAGCAAACAAGGCAAGGCTAAAGAGAACTCTGGTCCCTAATGGGCTTTAATGCTTTGATTTCAAGCAAGGGGGCTTTGCAACCATTACAATGATTTCTTTGCTTTGGAGAAAGGGAGCTTGGCAGCTTGCTTGTTTGCATTTCATCTGGCTTCCTGGAGAACCCAGGAGCAAAGCAAAGCACTTTACTTGGAACTGGTCACAGATTCCCCTCCATTTAATGTCCCCTCCATTCGCTGCAGAGCGACATCAATGGGATTGTTTCCTGATCAAACCCAATGAATCGTCGGAATTAACCCTGGAGATGCCACACCGTGTTAACTGCACCAGAGACGTTATGGGCCCAATGATCAGGCCCAGACTGGCACAACAGATCCTATGCTGCTGCAACTAACAAATACAGTGAATGAATAGCTGGGTAACAATAAGGGCAAATTTGTCAAATTCATGCTTTCCAAAACAAAATGCGAACTGAACTACAGCTACCTTGAAACTTCACACATACCCAAATTTTGCGATGCAGTTCTCCAATCAAACCATGTTTTTTTTAAATGCACATAATAGGGGAAAGAATTCATAAAAATGAATGCGTTTGTAAAAGCAACACAGAAAATGCATTATTAGGGGAAATTGCTTGCAAAAATGTGTACACTGGAACCACCAGCATAAAAGATGTGTTAAATAGCAGATACGCACACCAAAACACAGATCAATTTTCATGATTTTTTTTAAATCACAAACTGATGCAGAAATTTGAAGAACTGAATTTAAGGCTAGAAATAATGAGAAACTGAGAGAAGTGAAATTGACAGATTCTTCCATCCCTAGGCTCAAGTGAAGCCTGTAGCTGAGCTGACTGGCATAGCATTCTCACCTGACTTCTGTTTCCACTTTGCTGATTTATTTCACAGGCTTTGAATGGTGTCAGCAGTTCCAGCCTTTGCCTCCTCTCTGCTCTGGACCTCATTAGAGAAGGAGACATTAAAAATACATGCTCTGCTTAAGACCAGGAGCAACAAGAAGAGTGTCAGGCGGGGAGGGGAAGGGAGGCAAGAGAGGGCCTTTGGTGGAAAGGCTGAGCACATCATTCCACGTGACTGTGCTGTTAAGCTATTGTTTGTCTAGGCTCAGGCATATGAAAGTGAGCAAGAGGATCCCCCGTCTTGCTCTGCTGCTTGTAAGGTTGCTTCGCTTCTCGATTAGCTTGCTGCAGGTGTGCATGAGCATAGCTCAGAGCCCCATTGATGAATTTCCTTTTGTACTTCTTGGGAATCCAGCTGATCAACACAAAACAAAAAAAGGTCTTTGAGCAGAGCAGAGATGGAAATGGCAGAGGAGAGGGAGCCGAAGCACGGAGCACCTTCGCAAACAGCCAAAAAGAGAATAATTTATTATTGCGTGGCCAGCCCTTTTTTGAGATCAAACTATATGCGAAGCCCTGTGCAAACGGATCGCGGCTGATGTTCCTGGCACTTGATGTTGCTTTTCTTTCTGGCTCCATCCATTCTAACACTTCAGGTGGTAAGCTAAACCCCTGCTGCCTTAGTTTAAATTGTAAGCTCCATGGGGCAGAGACTTTTGCTTTGGTATGCAATGTTTCATGTACTGGGGACATAGTGAGTTTCCTTATACTGAGTCAGAGCCGTAGGGATGCGCCAGGAGAAGATATATGCATTGGATTTTATCCTTCCTTCCTCATGTTTGTGAGTTCAGCAGAGTGCCATCCCTTTGCAGCTTAAAAGGGAAGCTTAGATAGGCTAGTTTTAGCCTTTTGGTTTAAGTAATCCAAGGTGCTTTAAGGCAGACTGGATTTTCCTTTTCTCCCCCTTTAGAACAACAATCACACAAACAGTCATTGTAAAAGGTGAAAATAACATTGACTCACCCAGAGTTTCTGTTGCAGAAGGACAGATGCAGCATCTTTCTTCAGGCAGGTTAAAATGGTAATTCGGTTACACAGACATATTTTAGTCTAACTTGAAATGGAGTCTGAGCTTGGCAGTTGTTCTCACCTTTCTGGCTTGGTGATGAGATGAAGAGGTAACAGTGAAGAGAGGCAAAATAGGATGTACTCGGGCAGGTAAGAAGACTTTATATGACTAGACCCTCCCCTAGGCAGAGCACAGTGGGAGTGCCTCACAGAGGTCTCTCTAGCAAGCTTACAGGAAAACTCTGTGAGCTCCAGCTCCTATCATGTGCTTATCTAGCAAGGCAATGAATTGTTGGTTTGACTGCCCTTTGACTATCCCCCACAAGCATTGGCCTCTCTAGCCCTGTATTGTCTACACTGACTGTCAGCTGCTCCCCAGGGCTCCAGACCGAAGACATTCCCAACCCTACCTGGAGATACGAAGGACTGAACCTGAGACCTTCTACACAGAAAGCAGGTGCTCCATCCCTGAGCTATGGCCCTTCCTCTAATTCCAGATAAACAAGGGTTGGTTTTGGTTGGTTTAAGCACAATTCTATGGATTCTGTTCATGCTCCTCATTGTTATTCACATATTCCAGGTGACTGGGCGTCTTCCAAGGCCATCACCCTGGTCACCATGGGACACAGCACTGAAAGAGGGAGAGAAACCACAGCAGGAACAGCTTGCTCTGCCTTCCTGTTTCACTCTCATTTCACCCACCACACACACACACACACACCCCTCCATTTTGTGCCAGACCCCTGGATTTTGAAGAGACAGGCATGTCATTCTCCGGCCACAGGGGTGCATCACCTTCCAAGCTTAGGACACTCGAGAGAGACCTCCAGCCATTTCCCAGCCATTAGTTGTCATTAAGTAAACTGCCTACCCCCTTTTCTGAGTCATTAACATGCCGTCTGCCTGGCAAAAGGAATAGACAGTCATTTGTAGGGAAGGAGGAGCAATTTGGAGTTCAGCTTTGAAAGCAGACTCTGCTGATTTATGCGTTCTGGGCTAATGTGCAGGTTGGATGTGGGTCTGCATGGAAGAAGAGGAAGAAGAGTTTGGATTTGATATCCCGCTTTATCACTACCCGAAGGAGTCTCAAAGCGGCTAACATTCTCCTTTCCCTTCCTCCCCCACAACAAACACTCTGTGAGGTGAGGGGGCCCGAGAGACTTCAAAGAAGTGTGACTAGCCCAAGGTCACCCAGCAGCTGCATGTGGAGGAGCGGGGACGCGAACCCGGTTCCCCATGTTACGAGACTACCGCTCTTAACCACTACACCACACTGGCATGGAATCCACACTGCAGGGAGAGTCCAAAACAAGGTAGCCCAAGGGCTTGCCCTTCCTTCCTTCCTTCCTTCCTTCCTTCCTTCCTTCCTTCCTTCCTTCCTTCCTTCCTTCCGAAGTAGCTGCCTTGGATGGCTAGCATGCAAAACTCCTGCCATGCAGGTTGAAAATTGCAGGGAGATTGGGGAAGAGAGAAGGTGACTGTTCCCAGGGGTCTGTATTCCCTTCCATACAACCCTCCAGAGAGTGGAAGGACATCATTGTGTCCCTATGGTCCCGGGGGGAATTGGAGATGGGCTTCCAACTCAATGCAGAAGGAACCATGTGTGCCAGCCACTGTGGTCATCTAATACCAGTAACAAGAAGGAATCAGTGCTGAAACCACCTTGTAAGCATTTCAATTAAAAATGACAACTACTACATTTTCCTTTCAAAAAAATCCTCCTGGAAATGAGATGCAATAGACATCGGGTGGCTCTAGACGTTCTGTTTATTGTGCTTGAGTAATATTTGTGCTCATGATGCTATCAGGGCATCCATACACCATACGCCAATTGCCCCCGTTTCCTTGGATGCATGCTGTCAGAGCTGCCCCAGGTCCCAGCTCACAGAGGACCAACGCCAGTCCGTTGCTATATTAAATAGTCTTTATTGAAGTTCAGTTTCTCATTTACAGCCACGGCGCGCAGCTCTACGTCTTAAACCCTAGACCGCCGAAGCTCCGTCTGAGTCTCCTCCCCCCAGACACCAGTTTAAGACCCTAGCCTTGCTCCACCTCTTTCTCTGCTCCCTCTTCCTCTGGGTCCGCCTGTCCGCCGGGGTTTTCCCCTTTCTAGACTCTTCTGACGCTGACTCCCCCGAGTCTTCCCCCTCCCTCCGGCGGGCTTTAGGACCTGGTTCCCAATCCGGGCTTTCTGCTGTCCCGCGCGCCTGTACATTTGAACTTGGCGTGCGCGCCCAGCCTGCCACCTTCCTTCTGACCGTTATACTGCTCCTGTCGCTGCTTGCCGGAGGAGACGCTGACTCTGACCTATGGGGCTCTCCCCCCCCCCCCACTACGCTCTGGTGGGAAGCTGGCCCTGATTTCCAGCTACTGCTTTGGGAGTCTCCGCTGGCCCCCTGCTTCTGGTGTGTCCCCCCTGGGACCCCCCTTGCCCTGGCCATCGGCGCCCCCTTCTGGGAATCTTCTGATTCACTGGAGAGGCTCATGGAATCTCTCGGGTCACTGTCATTCTGCCCTCTGCTGCCCTCAGATTCTTCCCCTTCGCTCTCCATTTCCTCTCTCCCCTGCGCCTCTGCTCCTGAGCCCCTGACACATGCCAACACCATCCTGCTTTTAATATTGTTTATGCACGCAAAAAGTTTGGGGTGGTTGCATTGCTTTGTTTCCAATCAGTACAAAGCCCATAGCTTTCTGCTGAAATCCCATAACTTCCTACACCACAAATGTTCCAAGTTATTTTTGTCCTGCTTTTCTTGTGCTATGTGACTCCTCTGGAAAGCAGTAACATGGTCGCATTGAGAAAGCATCACATATCAACTAATAATGCAGAATTCACCACTAATACACTGTTATTGGAGAAGTTGCTCAATCCAGGGCTTTTGTGTGGTGGTAAATAACTCGGTTTTGGGATCTAATATTTAATTGCCTCTCCCAAATCACTAATCAGACTGTTCTCAAATCTCCTTCTTTAGCCTTACTCTCACTTTTCACTGGTCCCAAATTGCTCCATAAAGACCTCATTATTCTTTTATTAGCAGCTGTCAGAATGGCAGTGGTGGGAGGATGGAAAACGTCCTCGGAATTTTTTGCAACTGGTATGATTGCATTTGAAGATCAGCCTCCTTAGAAAATCCAACCCACAATTTCAAAATTGGCTAAGGGTCTGGCTAAACCTGAAGCATTTACAAATGTATGGTTCCTATTTATCAGTTCCTTGTCTGTAGGTCCCCAAACCACCAGCCTTACATACCGATTTCTGGAGAGATTCAACAAACTAGTAATGTGATTCCATCTTTCTTTGCGTTCCTTGTTTCTGTCTTCCCTGTGTATGCATGTATCAGTTTATGGAACATATTGCAAGAGACCTGTATTTATTTGGTTGTTACTGTTGCTCTTTATTGTACCATAGGTGCTTGGGAGCCCCGGGTGGGTTATGAGGACATCCCAGGTGGGTCAAGGCAAAGCTGCTGCTGTCATGTTGGACTCCACCTAAGGCTGACCAAACTAAAGGTTGTTTTTTTACCTGTTGCTATCAGTGCAGCAATAGCAATGTTCACCTCCCTGTATGCTAGACAGCCATTCACAGGGGCAAAATAACACAAGAGTGCATTTGCAGTTCCTGAATAAAATGGGCATTGTTTAGACCAGAGTTGGAGAACCTAAGGCCCAGTAAAAATTGCTGGATTACAACTCCCATCAATCCTAAAATCATTGGCCAAATTCCAGAGGGCCTGTGAGTCTGTTAATAGCAAAAACTTTAAAACCCCAGCAGTGTCTTGCAGCACCTCAAAGACTCATAATTGTGTTTATGTATGGCATAAGTTTTAATGAGACGGAGCTGACCAAGCAGTCTCTGGGCCACAAAGAGGCATGCAGCAAGACATTTGTCGTTGCTCCAGGAGTCTATTTTGATTAGCACAGCGCAAACACTGCAAAAATTAAAATAAAAAAAATATATCCTCAAGCATCCAGAGGCAGGAAGGAAAAAGAATACCCAGTCCATTTCACATGGGATAAAGATTATGTACAAATCTGACTGTAGGGTTTGACACAGCACTATGAAACACACACACACACACACACACACACACACACACACACACAACAGACCCTCATGCTCCCAAAGTCCTCTGCAGGGATGAATTTTCCACTGCAACAGTTTTTCCAGGGTCCAGCTTTTGAAAAAGGTTGCTGTCAATTTCTGGTCCAATGCTGGAAACCCAGGGAAAGTAGCAAGGCTGAAGGACCAGGGACAGCTCCAGGTGAGCAACTTGTTCCAGCCAAAGGTTGGGAGCAGACTGAGGCAGACAACTTCCTTCAGTCTCTACTTGCTTGAGAGAACTTCCTCGCCCCAAAGGGCCAGCCTCCTCCTCCTCCTCCTTTCCACGGCCTTCCCCTGGTGTGCTCCTGGTGCTGCCAGACTGGTGATGTGCATTGGGAAGCATCTGTTTCTGCTGGCTCAGGGGAAGTTGTCTGTGAGGGTCCAGGCTCTGGCCCAGAAGCCCTGATAACCTGGGAGGTTCCCCTGAGAGTTCTGGTCCAACTTTCTCAGGTACAATGGTCTCTATCTGCAGCAGTCAGCTCTGACCCAGACCCAGTGCCCCGTTTGATGCCCCTGTAGCCTTCGACTCTGGGTCCCAAGCTTTGATGGATACTGGTCATACCAAATGCTTTCTAACACTACCTGGAAAGAATGAGCAAATTCATGTTGGTTCAGAAAACAGTCGAGCTACTTCTCAGTGTTTGGGGGAAATAGCTCAGCTCATTTCCAAGCCAATCTGATGTGGTGAGAAATTCTCTCCTGGTATGTGGGACTGTCCCTAGAGCCCCCGATGCAGATTGCAGCAGAAGAGTGGATGGATGGATCTTCACAAGCAGGCACCTGCAATCTATGCTTTGCAGTTCCACAATGTGCAGTGAATTCATTTTGGGGTACCATCCTGGTACTCCTCCCTAGGTGGCAGACGTGGTCATCTGAAAAATCACTAGGTATTGGAAAATGTTGGTTTCTCACGGTTCCTCATTTTTCCAATCTTAATTCAGTTCTCCATTTTGCCACATCCTCATGTAAATTCATCCATGAATTTTTTCCTGATAGACCCATGTTGGCATGCAATTTTGCCCAATATACACATTTTTGCAAAGCA